GTTAAGTACAAACCCCCCAAAACAATATTTAATTTCAGTAACGTTAGTGAAATAAAATAAAATAACTCTTTACACCTATGCATAAAACGATTGCAAGACATTTCATGGTAACGTTACATGACCCGTTTCTGCTCACCTGCTCCCTGGTTGTCTGTTTAATAGCATTGACCCTAAATAACATGTGAATATAATGTTGGCTACTTCAGAAAACAGAAAATAAGCACATCTAAAAAAATCTCTTACCTTTATGAAAATGTCGAGGGTAAACGAACATAACCGGAGATATGTTGGCAAATATGATGATTTTGCATATCACCGCTGCAACCCAGGCCATCTGACGCGGCGACGCCTCTTGTTGTTTAGTCTTTTTTTCAAGTGTGAGACCTAAAATATCTTTCTTCGTGGTGAGTTTTTGACCTTTTCTATCATGTAATTCACTATTGCAGACTTTAACACAACAAGAACGTACCATTTTAAATCAAATGAAAAAGACAATTCTCCAAGTACAGAACACCTCGGCTTGATACCCTACAAATGGCGGAGATACCCAAAATGCACTTCGATTCTCGTGAGTGTGACGTCACCTGACAAAGACCGATTCTGCGCATGTACATTGTCACTTCCGCGTTCCTTACATAGCAACAACAGCAGAGCCAAAATGGCGGCCGGCGGAGATCCTGCGTGACACCGAGCCTGGTCTCAGCACAGAACCCTGCGGTTCCCCATCGGCGCCATGGCCTCCGCTCACGGGCGGCTGGGTCAGCACCTCCAGGCCGTGCTGGATGTGGTTCTGCGGGTCCCGAGCATCTTTATAATCGACGCCATATTCAACTCGTACTCAGATCCCGGTACCGGATGGACCGGAACCGCCGGGAGAGCGTTAATCCGCGCGCTGGGTGAGTCCGGTTTGCCGTGATTGGGGGTCGGGACGGGCCGGGCGTTTAATAACAGTGTACTGATGTTGCTGTTCTCACGTCAGAGATAATGAGCTTATGTCGGTGAAACGGGCCTGAACACAGAACCGAATCCCGTGAGTTTATGAGAGAAACCGTCAAACCTTCAGACTCATTCATATGATGCAAGAGTCTCTGTCCGCTTACATTCGATCTGACAGAAGAAACTGTCACACATCTCACTACCACTCACACTAGCTAGGCTACTTCACTATTTAGGGTAACTGTTGATTTGTATTTTACTGAGCAAGTTTACTTTAATGTTGTTTAAATATGCAACTGAGGCAGTATCTAATGAAATATGTGCTAATTTGCATACATTTCCTGAACAGAACTCTTGTAATTGAGTGTAATTGAAATCTACAGTCCAGAATAGATAAAGTGCAATAAAATAAACACTTAAATGCGTATTTTGGATGTTTTCTTTGTACTAGTTTGAAAAATATGGAAGGCTGTCTGAAAAAAAAAATTTAATAGCACATTTTTATTTCACAATTCAAACTTTTTTTTCTCGCATCTAGCATTTTTGACTCTTTTCTCTGATCAAAATAAAAAATTGTGACTTTTTATCTCACAATTTGCGCTTTTTCTTGCAATTTCAAGTTGGATGTAAAATATATAAATGTAAAAAATGTAGATGTAAAAAAGTTGGAATTCTTTTTTTTTTTTTTTTGGTTTTGTTTAACCACCACTTATTAAAAAAATTAAAAAGCAAATGCGAACTTTCTTATCCCACGATTCATACTTTTTCTCACAATCCCAAGTTTAAATCTCGCATTTCTGAGTTTATATCTCGCAATCTGGACTTTTTTCACTTCTTACACATCTCAATTAGATTTTTTCCCCAGCACATAATTAAAAAAAATTAATAAGGAAATTGCGACTTTTTAATCTTAAAATTCTGACTTTTTTGCTCACAATTGCGGATTTATATCTCATAATTAAACTAAAATTAAAATTAAAAGCTGAAAATATAAAGATAAAAACTCATTCAAAATATCAATGAAAACTTTACTTATTTTATATTATTTAGTATACAAATAATAGACCAATTTGACCATTTGAAGCTAAACGCGAATGTTTAAACTGACAGACTATGGATGAAAAATGCTATGATTATTCAACTTTTAAAGCATAAATTTGATTTAAACAACATGTCTACATAATATTCACACATGCAGTTCATAGGGGACATATAGTATTAGCCCTACAGTTAAAGCATGAAATACTCTTTAAACCTATAACATTGTACTTAACATTTACCTATTTTATCTTAACTCAACAATAGTGAGTTTGTCAATTCTGAGGGAAAAAAAGCCAGAAGTGTGGGATATAAACTCATGATTCTGAGCCGAGTGGAAAAGAGAGAATGACGAGTTGATTTTTCTTATCTGAATTGTGAGATATAATCTCGGAATTGTGAGAATAAAGCCATAATTTTAAAATATAAACTAAAAAAAAAAAATTATTATTATTTTTTATTCTTTTATTCCATGGCTTCCATAGACTGCTACTTGAAAACGGTCATTTTTCATTCACAATCATTTCACTCTATGCAATGCCAAAATATGCATATTCAAAGTAGTCGCAGTGTCAACGCGTTACTGTTGCATGCTCAAAGTTTGACGAACTTAATTCCAATGCGGATCTGCATGGGGGATGTTTTATTATCGTGCAAGTTCCTACTAAAATAACTGCATTTCACCTGCAGATTCTTGTATTTATCCATACAAGAAGTAAATGTGAAACAGTATTTTCCGGTGAATTCGCTTTGTTGCATTCTGCATTGTTTCTGCCTAATATTGCATTGCATTCTGCACTGTTGCGATGCGAACGCTGATTTTCATCCTCTCGTTTTGCAGGTATTCTGGTTTCCAGCGTGGTTCTGGTGCTTTCCCAGAAGTCCCTGTTCAAGTTCTACACTCTGTTCGCGGCCGTTCTGCTGGGCGCGGCGTCGGTCCTCATCAACTACTACGGCACGTCGCACATTGACTTCTACAGCACGTATAACCGAGCGGCGCTGGGCTTGGGCCTGCTGCAGCTAATCCTAGGACTGGGCTACGTTTCGCTGCTAAACGTGCCATCGCTTTGTGCCGCGTTGCTGGTGCTGGACGTCATGCTCCCGCTGTGGGGCCTGATGCTGGAGCTCCCGGCGCACTTGCGTCAGGCGCTAGCACTGGCGTCGGGGGCGATTCTCGCGACGCACGCAACCGTTAATCTGCTGTGGAAGCTGAAGTGGTTCTACTACTCGTGCCGCTACGTCTATCTACTCCTGCGCCACATGTACCGCATCTACGGCCTGCAGCTGCTGCTGGAGGACACCTGGAAGCGCATACGCTTCCCCGACATCCTGCGCGTCTTCTGGCTAACGCGCATGACGGCGCAAGCAGTCATACTAGTGTACGTAGTGCGCGTGGTTCGCTCGGAAAGCGGCCTGCAGCTCGGCTGGGACTTGTTTTGGGACTTGACCAGCAACTTGATCATCAGCGGCTGCGATTCGATGCTCACCGTGTTGGGAATGAGCGCAGTTATCTCGTCACTCGCGCATTACTTGGGACTTAGCATCCTAGCATTCATCGGCTCAACCGAGGAGGAGGATAAGCGGCTGGGGTTTGTCGCGCCAGTGCTGTTCTTCATCCTCGCTTTGCAGACGGGATTAAGCGGACTGGATCCCGAAGAGCGACTGATCCGGCTTAGCCGGAACATGTGCCTTCTGCTAACCGCGATTCTGCATTTCATCCACGGAATGACGGATCCGGTGCTAATGTCGCTAAGCGCCTCGCACGTCTCGTCAGTGCGCAGGCATGTTCCCGTGCTGCTGGTGTCGCTAGTCCTCTTCGCTCTCCCCGTCCTGCTTAGCTATGTTCTATGGCATCACTACGTGCTAAACACGTGGCTCTTCGCCGTCACCGCGTTCTGCGTGGAGCTCTGTCTCAAAGTCCTCGTCTCGCTCACCGTCTACGCTCTATTCATGATCGACGGCTTCTACAACGTGCTCTGGGAGAAGCTGGACGACTATGTCTACTACGTGCGCTCCACCGGCAACATCGTCGAATTCGTCTTCGGCGTGATCATGTTCGGAAACGGCGCGTATACGATGATGTTCGAGTCGGGAAGTAAAATCCGCGCGTGCATGATGTGCCTGCACGCGTATTTCAACATCTACCTGCAGGCGAAGAACGGCTGGAAGACGTTTATCAACCGTCGCACCGCCGTCAAGAAGATCAACTCGCTCCCGGAAGTCAAAGGCACGCGGCTGAGGGAGATCGAGGACGTTTGCGCGATCTGCTATCAGGAGTTCGCCGCGTCCGCGCGCATTACGCCGTGCCACCACTACTTCCACGCGCTGTGTTTACGCAAATGGCTGTATATTCAAGACACGTGTCCCATGTGCCACCAGCGCGTCTACATCGAGGACGACGGACACGAGCGCAACGCATTCTCCAATAACAATGGCTACGCCGCGCCGGGGCAGGAGAGGGCGGAGTTTGAGGGAGAAGAAGGCGGGGCTGATGTGGGTGGAGCCGCCGGAGGGGCGGAGCCTGAAAACGAGCTTCTGGAGGACAACGACAGCATCGAGTACGACGAGGAGGAGTGGGGGACGCAGCCAGGCGTGACGCTCGTAGAGGAAGAGTACATTAACGAAGACACGGACTCCAACTGAAGCAGCGCAGATGTTTAAATTAAAAACGATTGCGAGATCAGGGACGTTATGCTTTTGTTTGTGTGTGTGTGTTCGGATAAAAGGGCTGATCTTGTGTTGTTCCTGAAACGCTCTTGACCATGTTTGGCTGAACGATAAAGAGTAGGGCTGCAAAACGATTAATCGCGATTAATCGATTCAAAATAAAAGTTATGTTTACATACTACTATATGTGTGTGTACTGTGTATATTTATTATGTATATATAAATACACACACACATACACTACCGGTCAAAAGTTTGAGATTAGAACGATTTTTAATGTTTTTTATAGGAGTCTCTTCTGCTCATCAAGGCTGCATTTATTTGATCAAAAATACAGAAAAAAAAATTTATATTGTGAAATATTGTTATGATGTAAAATAACGTTTTTCTATTTTTATATACATTACAAATCTAGTTTATTTCCGTGATGCGCAGCTGAATTTTCAGCATCATTACTCCAGT